GCACATACGACCACAGCTCGCATAGAATACCGGATCTCGTCCAGCTCTTGTTTTCTGTTGCAGTGCCTCAGCTTCTCAAAATATTAAGTTCTAACTACGGAAAAGGTCAGTTTTGACAGAACCGTTGTTACTGCCATTAGTTATCCGACCCTTGGGATAAACAGCTAATCTGGATCGGATTGAGCGGATCGTCAGCCGAGAGAATATCCCACCAATAGGCTTTATTTAGCTTTCCCTGCATCAGTAGATCAACCACCTTTTCCGCCTTGGCATCATGAAATCGCACGAGGCAGGGGATTGGGGGCATACTCGTATTGTTGTCGGTAAACTCGCAATGATACACCGAGTCTCTTTTAACCGATGATATATATTCGACAACGCAACTCGGTCCCGATATGCATATCCCACATCTCATACTACTCAAAATGCGTTATCTTCCAATCTTGAGTTTTCTTGGGGTGTTTGCTATCGCCACCATCGATGCTGTGTCTCTGCCGCAAGATGTGCCTCGCGATGTTTCAGATTTCCGACAGAATCACCCATACAAGCCTCCCAAACATGAGCACCGCAAGATAATAAAGATCCGCGCGTCGAGGGATCATCAAGATGATGTTTCCAAGGATTTCGAGCGCGGTGTGCGTCAGGCTGACCGAGGTAACACCTTGTACTTGCCACATGGCCAGACATTCGTCATTGGAAAAGCCCTTGATTTGACTGGACTCAATGATATTCACATTCACCTGGAGGGCGAGATCCGGGTCAGTAATTCGTTTTCGGATCGCATACTGTCTCGGGACCTAACGGAGATAGTTTACGGATAACGTTACATATTGGCAGGAAAATGCTTGGTATCACCCCTTTCAAAAGTCCATTATGTTTTGGAAATGGGGAGGGCATGATATCAAGATCTATGGTAACGGCGTCATCGAGGGGCAAGGGTTAGTTGATATCAGGCCAGCGTAGGTGTATTATGGCTGACAGTGGTAGACAACGCTGGTGGAATGAGTTTGAAGCCGGCACAGGCTCGTGAGTTGACCAAAATTCCCTATGGATGGCATTGTACTAACTATCCACTAGCATTCTAAATCCTGATAATAAGTATTACCGTCCGATTTTGTTCTACGCAGAGAACACAACCAACCTTGATGTTTCCGGCATTCATCTCAAAGACTCACCCTGCTGGAACAATTTTATCGTAAGCTCCAAGAACATCTCATTCACCGATATCGTAGCGACAGCCCTATCAAACAATGGCAGCATTATCCCAAAGAACACCGACTTTATGAACACAATGAACACTTCAACTGTGCGAATTGAAAGGACATGGGTCAATATTGATGATGATTGTTTCTCTCCCAAGCCAAACAGCTCTGATCTTTATGTCAACACCATGTACTGTAACGGTACACACGGCCAGGTAAGTTCTATATGCAAGAGACTGCCTGACAAAACTAACTGGGAGAGTCCATGGGCTCCCTTGGGCAATATAAGGGGGAAGTCTCTAATGTTCACGATGTGCATATTGAGAACGTTTGGATGATGAATGGAGATGTATGTCATAACCCCGGGTCACTCGCTATACATTCTGACCCTTTCAGTATTCTGGTGCTCGTATCAAAGTTTGGGCCGGAAATGAAACTGGCACGGGTTTTGTCAACAACGTAACGTTCAAGTGAGTACTTCAGATTTAATTAGTCACATCCAATGATTAACATCCAGCCAGGAACTTTTGGGTTGCACGTATGGACTACGGCATATTCCTCGACTCTTGCTATTTCAACAAATCAGCCTCAGAGTGCAATGCTCATCCCTCAGGAATGCAAATCACCAACATACACTTCGAGAACTTCACAGGCTATACATCTGGTGTTTATGGCAATGCTGTAGCTCGTCTTTCTTGTTCGTCAGCTGACGATGCTGTTTGCGCCAACATTACTCTCAAGGACTTTGATGTCAAAACACCATGCGGTGGAGAGCCCGTGGTTATCTGTGATGGGATGCACGGCGATGTTGGTGTCGACTGTGTTCCATATGAAAGCGATGAGGCTCAGGCGGCGCTCAAAGCAAAATGCGAAACACCGTTGGTTCCTATCGACACGGATCCTTGGGGTAATGGATTGATTGAGAAGAAGAAGGATGCCTTTCACCCACAGTAGTGACAGATCTTGGGATATATAATATCAAAATCGAGCAATACTAGCACATGCGACCACAGCTCGCAGAGAATA